AGCCTTGGGAGCTGGGGCTCTTCGAGGACTTGTACGTGATGCTTGACGTCGATGATTTGGAGCATCTTTCAGTGCCGGCCCATGAATAGGAGTTAGACGTCGTGAACTCTCTTGGGGAGCATTATGCGGTGGGCTCGTACGGGCAGGCTGCCGAGGTAAATTGCGAGGTACCTGGCCTGTTTGAGTATTTTGGATATGGGCTCGGATTCGATGATTAGAATGGCCATTGGGATTGTGTGGAGGTCGAGGGCTTGGATTGAGACTGACGCGAAAGTCTCGCCCAAAAGCATCCGGGTCAATGACTGTAGGAGAATTGACAGGTTGCTGATGAGCCTGGCCAACAGTTGATGGATTTGGACTGTGTCTCGCTGCTTTCCCTTTCGTTTGAGGTTTGACCAACGATTTCTGTGGACTCTGCCCGGCAGGCTTCTGCTGAGATTGTTCCTTTGGTGTTGAAGGTCGTGAACTTTGCTGGGGAGGTTTCTGTTGGGCAGAGAGGCGCTTCGGCTGGGGTATGAAGACAACTACCTCTTCATCGCTATCTTCCGGCTCTTGTGCGGCTTCCAATACTGACGTCGAGTGGGTAGAAGTGAGCTTTAACGGAGAAGTGTCACTAATGGTCTGGACTTCCTGGACGCGCTGAACAGGTCCCACACTCTGAGGCTGAGGCAAGGGACTCTCTGGCGGCGAGCGCATTACAGAGGGTTCCGGGGCCGGCTGGTTGGCTAGGTTGGTTTGGCTTTCGACACCGTCGAGGTTGATGCCAGTGCCTGATTCGCCTAGGTGCTTCTCGAGATCCTGCTGGATGATGCTGTCTACGAGGCTCTTGATAGATTCGACGCTCTTGGCAGGCTTATTTGAGAGATGTTCTGCTGTCAACGTGGGGGCTGTCTCCACCAATAGGTCCTGCTCTCTGACCTTGTCCTCACGACGATCGCCATCTACCAAGGACTTCTTCTCACCCCGCTCGAGACTCTGCTTCTCAAGGTCCTGCTCATGCACGATGCTGCTGGCATCAGTGTTTGCGGTCCCTTCGCTGGAGACCGAGTTGTCCATGGCATCCTCATCTTTAGACAGATCTTCATTTGCATTCTCTGAAACGCCATTCTCTCCACTAGTCTCTTCGGCATCTTTGGTGGCAAGGGTAGCACTCTTCTGCTGTACGCCAAATTCTTGCTCAAGGTCCCCAAAGGTGTCGAGATCAGTCCTGCTCGTCTTGCATGCGATTGTAGCGGCAACTTCTTTGGGCGAACGAGCAATGATGTTGAGCTTCTGAGCAACAGAACATGTCTCAGACTGGTCGCTCAGGAGGAACAGCTGATTGGCATCATTGCGTTCGATGCTCTCGTGCAGGCGCCAAAGGGCACAGCTCATCAATGGGCGCAACCCTCCTGGAACATCCTTTGCCGATATCTTTGGAGCGTCCTTCTTGACCTTCCATGGGGATGTCTCGCTCCCAGCGGTTCTAGCTACCAGCTTTGGTTTCGTAGGCGCTGGGAAAGGACAATTAGCAATGTATCAATTCTGGATCTAGACTCTATTCACCTTTTGACATCGACTTCTCCGATACTCCATTGGCTAAGTTTTGCTTCCTTCGTAGCGCTTCTGCCCATGATGTAGGAGGGCCCTCAATAGCCTCCGGTTTGTCTTCTTCTACATCGAGATCTTTCCATGGCGTGTAATGTTCGTTTGGCTGTTGGAAACAAACAGCTTCATGGTTCTCGGTTTCCTGAAAGAACAGTCGCTGTTCTGAACCAGCGTCTTGGTCTTTCCTATGTTTCAGCCTTCCAAGATATTCCCGCGCCACAAGAGGATTGATGTCGAAGGCGGGGTGTTCCTTCTTGGGTGGCTTGCCCGAGGTCCGAGGTCGAGGGGCTTCTTGTGTTGTCGGCTTTGGCTCTACGGACTTTTGGTAGAGCTGCTCGACTTGTTCGATTGCTAGAGTGACTTAGTAAGGTTGAAGATTGTTGCGCTGGATGTTGACCCACTGCATGATGGCACGACGAGGCGTAGTCGACCGTCGTAGATCCACTTTTTGAGGTCTTGAATGTGGTCGACGAGTGTCTTGGCGTCTAGGACGCAGATTGGGGTCTCCATTTTTGGTAAAAGTGCAAAATGTAAGATGTGCTGTTTGGTCTCATCGAGACGGTATCATTGTTGATGTAGGCCCAGCCGAAGGACCTTTGTCAGTAATCAGTAAGAATGTCCTGCGGTGGTGTTCCTGACAGTGTTGTGCGAGCTAACGTTGCCCAGTACGTACCTAGGACAAGTGTTCCTTGCAAGTGAGCGCAGTTATACATGTTGAGTATACGATCCGGCCTCTCGATTTCTCAAGAGGCTCATGTGAGATACTTTCTCAAACATGAGGATTTGAAGAAAGTATGAACCGGGAAGAAGTTATGGGGTTGTTGAGGTGGTGGCATGTGAAGAGAAAGAGTCAGTGAAGTGCGAGGTTCTTCACAATGGAAAAATGTCCGGAGGCGGGAGCTAAGCCACTTCATCTCTTGGCATTTTGGCATTTTGCGCTAGTAATAAGCCAATTGAAAATCTGAGATCTCGCCCGACTGCCTTTTACACCTACCCATTTTTCGCCTGTCGCAGCTGAACCTGTCCATCGCCATGAAGCCGACCAACAGCTTCTGCTTGCCATCTTAGCTGCTCACTAAGATAAGATCAATTTTGAATCTGTTACTTCTAGATTGGGAGAGCATTGAAAAACGCCATAGCTCAAAAGGATATCGCTCCATCTGCCGCAATGGCCAAAGCTCCACCAGTCAAGAAGAGGAAGAGGGCTGAGCACGATGAAAACAATGTTACGGATGAGTTATCGGCTACGAATGCTGTCGAGAACTCTACGCAAGCGCAGGTTTCCGCTACCAGTACTGTAAGTGCTGGCAATGGCTTCGGAGAGGTTCATTTGACAGAAGAACCCTCAACGAGGAGTATATACGCTGGCGATTGTGTCGAAAGAAACGACGAGTTCTCTGGTAGAGGCCTACTGCCAATTAAGCACAAAAATGCTGTTGGGACTTCGTATGCTCAACCGGCTATATTTCCTGGACAGGTAATGCTTGACGAGCAAAGTCAAGACAAATTCCGAAAAGTACAGATTTTCTCATCGCAGAAGCTGCCCCAGCCATTCCTCGACAGATGACACAGCATCAGGTGCATAATGGCGCCCAAACACAGACTCGCAACAACCTCAGAATCGCAACAACCGATAGGGGGCCAACTATGGAAAGAAAAACTATTCCGAGTGTCCAGCCATTGTATACCAGCAATGTGTATGTAGCCATAGAAGATGTGAGAAGATGGACCTAATAGTTGAATTGGCCAAGCTGCCTGAAAAGACATGGGAGTACGCGCAAGCGACGGAAACCAGAGTTTCACTTGGTCAGAACGAATCGTTGAAGGTCATAAATGCTCTGCGTTCTTTTGGGCACTGCCCTAGCTATCAAGGGTATCGGACTCCAAGTTTGTATCCTGAAGGCCACCACTTCGCTTCAATCTATCGCACTGCCTCCGGCACGAATTTGATCTAAACCTCCTTGCTGATCAAACGGTCTCTCTCTGCGACACGCTGCGCCCATTCCCTGCTCATTGTCAGTGCTGAATTGGCGATGTGGGAACAATGATCTTCTTACGTCCAGCTGCCATCATATAATCTTCGGTCATTTGCATGGCCAAAGTCGGCCTCTCCGAGCGCAGCATCAATAACCGCTGCTGTTACACCTGTACCACAGCTACTAATGATCGGCCTTTCCGGATCGACTCCTTTCGACTCAAAGATTCGTCTCAGCTCGTCGCTCGGAAGGAGGGCGCCAGTCTTAGGATCGAGCAGCTCCGAGTGGGGGACACTCATGCTGCCTGGTATATGGCCGCTCGACAGTCCGGGCCTTGGTTCAGGTGCGGTACCCGCCCATCTCCCCTTGGGCCTCGCATCCAGTATCTGAATTCCTTCTGCTCCCTCCTTGCCATAATCCTTCGCGATATCTTTGACCTCGGCAAACTTCACTACTTTTTCTGGATCGACCTGGGGCGTCGGGTAGTGGCTCGGCTCCTCAACTACTGCCACCACCTCTCCGCTTTCTATGGGATAACCTTGCTCGACCCACAATCTGAAGTTGTTGAGAAGGTGGACGCTTGAATGACCGAAGACCTTGAACGTCCAACCCACACGAGGCGCACTGAATATTCCGAGCTCTTTTGAGTCGTAGATCACAACCTCATCATCCTTTCTAATTCCAATATCTTGCATGGCCTTAGCAAACCCTTCGGCTGTGGGCAGCATGTGTGGGTACTTTGAGTCATGATCTTTGACGGCGTCAAGGTCGAAGAAACGGGCAGAAGGGATTCGTTGCTGTTTGAATACGCTGTGGCCTGTACGACCTTTGGGATCATTGGGTAGAAACCAGGAAGCACACACTGGAACCACTCGTGGTGCTGTGGAGATCTTGGTAGGGACGTTCTTCGTCAAAGCATCGGCAAGCTCTTTCGGTGTGACGATATAAGATTCTAGAGACACATGACGACGTTGAGCCATCGAAGCTCGGCGGCGAGGGGCAGGAGAACAGAAGTTGAGGAGACCGTTGGAGAGCTTGATTGAAGGAAGTCGTGTGCGTGCTTGGAATGCCATGGTCAATGACACTCAATCGTTTCTCTCATACCCGAAATCAGTGCTGATTGTGCTGAATGAAAGGACAATAAAGAAAGAAAAGAAGTTCAGCTTCGCTGCGGCGTAGGTTGAAGAGCAGAAGAAAAGAGATTCGCATCAGCTTCCCCTCGGAGATAGCGCGCTAGCAAGGGTAGCTTCCTATCGCGATAACGCCCCCGTGCGACGATCTCGAAACACCAAAGCGTGATATACTGCAAATCATCATACGACACCACCCTGGCTCGCAAGCGTCAGCAGGTGTCCCTTTCTAGACTGTAACGCAGAGAGCTGTAGTGTGATCTTGGTCCACGCACCCTAGAGTCCGCATCCGCGAGAACAGCACGCCATGAAAGTCACTATCAAAGAATGGAACGCGGTGGCCTCTTGGCGATGGGATATGCCAGAGGATGATGTCTGTGGTATATGTCGAGTCCAGTTCGACGGCACATGTCCTACCTGCAAATACCCTGGCGACGATTGCACTCTGTGTAAGTTGTACTTCGAAATTCAGTCGAGTCCACTCAGGGCTAACGATGAATATAGTAATTGGCAAATGCGGACACTCGTTTCACATGGTATGAAGCTACTCGCATACACATGCTCTGACCCATGATTCTGAGCATTGGCAGCATTGCCTCCTCACCTGGATTCAGCAAGATTCATCCAAAGGACTTTGTCCGATGTGCAGACAAAGTATGGCTTGCTCTCCGCAAACACCAATAGAAGCTGACCACGATGCAGAGTTCGAGTGGAAGCAAAGTGGAGAATAGTCTTGAGATGCAGATATCTTCGCTGCGCCGAAGGACCTGCTTTTGGTTGATGGCATAGCGTTAGGCGTTGTTCAGTTTCGATACCCAAAATGGCATGGACGAGTAGAAAAGGAATCCAAAGCATGACTCAAAAGTCACATGTAGTTTTTTGTATCTATCAACAACGACACACCTAAAACATTTATATATAGCGTACGCGCAGCCTGCCTCTTCTGTTCTACTACTCTGCTCAATCATGTAGCGAGTAATCACCGAAGTCTCTACGCCCGCGTCATGTCATTCCTCCCCCTCTCCGCTCCACCAACCCGCCAAACCGTCACCCCACCCACCCTCCTGCCATCCCCCCTCCCCAACCCTTCAACCGAAGACCCAATAAACCACGACCACGACCACGATCATGACCGTGACCGGCAAACAGAATCCCCCGCCGTACTCCCGCCACCGAACTTCCAGCCCGTCTTCACGCTCCTCTCCAACACCGGCACCTCAACGACCCACCACCCAAACGTCTACTACGTATTCTCCGATGATGCGCCCGATGCGGATCCCATCACAGCGGCGGCTCTGCAAGTGCTCCATCCCGCCTCGGCGACCTCTTCGCCCACTGTGGACCTCCAAGGTGGGAATGCACAAGGCAGAAAGGAGCGGTATGTGCTGCTAGATATGGATGCCACAGGCACAAAAATTGAGTCGGCGCAAAGTATGTCTCCGGATTGGGCTGTCACGTCTACAGAGCTTGGACCAGCGCCTACATGGGACAGGGATGGGGAGGGAAAGCAGGAGGGGAAGGAGGCGAGAGGCTTGATGTTGAGGATTGAGGGAATGGAGCTTAGGAGGGAGGAGGAGGGAGTGGTGACAAAGCAAGGCGAGGAAACGAGGTTGGAAGAGTTGGTAGAGATCTATGAGAGGCAGATGGCGGAGCTGAGGAGAGTTGTTGATTCTGGACAAGGGATCAGAACGGGCGGAGAAAGTGGGAGATGAGCGCTTATATGTCTAATTCTGGGAAAAGATGTTGGATCTGGATGAGTAGATAGATGATCGTGGCGCCCTAGATCATTTGTGGGAGGATGTCGTCCCTGGCCCCAGGCCGCTGGGCGTCTAACGAGTTCGCTATTGAGAGGGTATACCCTAGGTAACACTCTAGCGAATATTCTGGTCGTGAATTTGTGCCGAAATCATGCTCTGGATATCTTCGTGCATTATGTATTTGGTGCAGCGGTTGGTTTGTCGTGTGAATGGTGATGTGAGGATGTAGCAGCGTCGGCTTTCTTCGCTTCTTTCTTATCCTTCTTCTCGCCCTTCTACGTAGATTTTGGAGTCAGCAAAGGCCATTCGAGGCAGAGACTGGAGTTGCAAAACAGGTCTCGGGAGTAGAAGGGTCCTTTTGCTCCCGAGACATGTCATGTAACTCGATTCTACTACCGATTAGGAAGAACTAGCTCCGAAATGTACGAACCTTGTCTTTCTTGATTGCCGCATCGGCCATGAGTTGCTCGAAGGCCATGTAATCACCTTCTTCGTCTGGATCTCGTTGGGCCTGGAGACCGTTAGCTGGGTGCGGCACGTTTAGGATAATATTAGAAAAAAGAGCTTACGTTCTGGTATACTGTGCCAGAGATGACCAGTGCCTGTGCTCGTTCGAGTCTCTTCTCCATCTTGACACTCTTGTCGTTGAGCACCTTGTCGCAGACATCTCTTAGCACGCTCTGGATCTCGAATCTTGACCCTTTCCACGCCGCTGCCAAAATCTTCCCAGTGACCCTCCTCTCGTATTCCGCTTTCTTCTCGTCTGTCCAGTCCTCTCCGCCCTTTTCCTCCATCTTTGCCATCTCCTCCATTGTTAATTGTGCATCGATGGCTGTACTTATTGTACTCCAAGTATCTTTTGCAAGGGTACCTTTATCCTTTAATCTGGAGAAGAAGCCTGATATGCCCAGGAACTTCTGCGACTTGAGGAATGATGTTGCTTTTTGCAAGTAGGTCAGTCCTACAGCGTGTAGTATTTCGAGACCGAATGATTCCATCTTCAGGTTCTCCACCTCCAATCTTGTCTTCTCTGTGAAAGCTTTGGTCACATCGTTACCCTTGTCAGTCTCCGTCCATATACTAATACGGTCGAGCAGCTTTTTGGCAAGTGTGTCGACACGTTCATCTCGTATACGTTTTCGCTCAGCCTCGTAAGCAGCCAGCTCTTCCCTCTGTTCCTTTGACAAGCCCCTCTTTTTCTCTTTACGCCGTAGCTCCTTTTCCTCTGAAGTAAGGCCAGCAGCATCCATGCGGGCATCTTCCTCTGATTTGTCCATTATAGCCTGCTGGCCGATGCGAGGGCGAGGAGTAGGTGTAGAAGTACCAGAAGCTGAAGGAGAAGCGTCGCTGGTGGGAGGATTGAGGTCAGATGTTGGCCTCGGCGGTGACGCTGCTGCTCCTGCAACCCCTATATTTGCAGCTCCTTCCTTTCCCTCTTTTGCTTGCAGCTTGGCATCAGCAGACTCGGCGGCCTCCGCCTCCTCCATCTGCTTTGCCGTGATATCCATTGTCTTCGTGAGATCTTTCATGAGCGAGAGCTCTCCTATTAGATCTACAAAAGCTTCTCCTCCAAAGATCATACCAAAGAACTCCGCAGGGTCTTCGAAGCCACCCCCGGGTACGGCCTCTTCCTTGCCAAACTTGTCATATCGCTGCCGTAAGTCTTGATTGCTGAGAACTTGGTAAGCCTCACCAATAGCTTGAAAGCGGGCATGTGCAGTCTCGTCGCCAGGATTCTTATCGGGATGTGTAGTTATGGCAAGCTTTCGGTAGGCCTTCTTGATTTCTAGTTCTGATGCTTTTGGAGGAACCCCAAGCGCATCGTAGTATGTCGTGTCTACCACCATAACGCCGGTGGACTTTTGAGATACTGTAGGGCCAAGGCTATGGCCACCGCTCGAAGGCAGATACCGGGTGTGTGTAGGTCACAGACGCTTTATTCTTCAGCCAGAATATTGGGAAAGCTGGTGATCAGTTTTCAATTAAATGGCTCGTCATATCGCTGCCTCAAAACGAAAAGATGTCGGCACTACCCGCTGCTTAGCGCGTCAACACCAAATACGTAGTGCAAATCTTATTATAAAGGACCTTCGATTTCGACTTTTTGCGGAGAAGGCATTGGTCCATTGGCGCGCTTCCTTATGTTCAGTCTTCCACTCTTTCTTCAACACACATATACCATGCACCAGGAAGGTTAATAAACCCTCCAAGTCCCTTCTTCTTAATAACCCATCATTGGCCTGCGCCACTTCCAAACGCTCTCTATCCCTACCACTGCTCTGGAGTCAACATGGTAAAATCAACCGACGTTCTCTACTATGCTGTACATGTCGGAGAGCTAAGAAACATCATTCAATGGTAAGTCAGTAATTGAGTATCCAAGGCGTTAAATCTTATGAATTGATAGGCAAACATGGCATCAACCGGTTCACGAGCGAAAGCCGGAACAGGAGGCGCCATCATTGGCAATCTGCTTCGAATTCCTCGACCAGACTAGCCGCAGCTTCAGTGCTGTCATCCAAGAGCTACACCCCGAACTCCTCGTGCCTATCGCTCTCTTCTATCTCATTCTCCGAGGACTCGATACCATTGAGGATGATATGACCATTTCTCCTGACGAAAAGACCCCATTGCTGAGGGAATTCCACAACTACACGGAAAAGGAAGGTTGGAACTACCATGGTTGCGATCGAAAGGAGAAGGATAGGGAGCTGCTTGTGCAATTTCAAAACGTGACCGAGGAGTTCAGAAAAGTGAAGCCAGCGTACCGCGAGATCATCAAGGATATCACGCTCAAGATGGGAAATGGTATGGCCGACTTCTGTCACAATGCGGAGCATGATGTCAACTGTGTGAACACAATCAAGGACTATGACCTCTACTGCTACTACGTCGCGGGTCTTGTGGGCAATGGTCTCACTCGTCTGTTCGTCGAGAGTGGTTTGGCCAATCCGGTATTGCTAGAACGCCCCCAACTCCAGGAGTCAATGGGTCTCTTTTTGCAAAAGACAAACATCATTCGTGATATCAAAGAGGATTCGGACGAGAAGAGACGGTTCTGGCCTAAGGAAATCTGGTCAAAATACGTGGACAAGTTCGAGGATCTTTGCAAGCCAGAGAACAGGGAAGCAGCTCTCAACTGTAGCTCAGAGATGGTCCTCGACTCCCTCAGCCATGCCGACCAATCCCTTTTCTACCTCGCCGGTCTCAAGGAACAGTCCGTCTTCAACTTCGCAGCCATACCACAATCAATGGCAATCGCGACACTGGAACTCGTATTCCGAAATCCAAAGATGTTCGAGAAGAATATCAAAATCACAAAAGGTGAGGCTTGTCGCATCATGATGCAATCGACGCAGAATTTGAAATTGGTCTGCGAGGTCTTCCGGGAATTCACGAGGAAGATCCACAAGAAGAATACACCAAGAGATCCCAACTTCCTCAAGATTAGTATCGCGTGTGGCAAGGCAAGTGTCCTTTCATGATCTCTGAAGCGACAGTTATGTTAATCGCGCGAACAGATTGAGCAATTCATCGAAACGATCTACCCTTCGCAAGACCCCAAGTCGATCATGCAAGAGCCAGCGGCCCCAATAGACCCAACATCAAAGGAAGGCAAGGACAAGGCGGCGGCAGCTGAGGCCAAATCGGATCTTGGTAAATACCACAACTGAATGTCTTTTGGTAAAGGAATCGCTAATTCCTTGCAGTCTTCATGCTCATAGCCATTTTCGGCACGCTCTTCTCCATATCATGCCTCATGGTATGTTCTGCTTCTTCCCATGTCTCTTCCTCAAATTGACAAGAGAGCCAGCTTGGGATTGCGTACGCCTTTGGCGCCCGCTTCGACGTGGCCTTCTCTGAACTCACACAAGGCAAGCTCAGCAAGCCAACAGATGCCGGCGCCGCACAATCGATCATACACAAGTACGACCATGGAGAACTCTAGCATCTTTACACCTCGTCCAGCATCTTCTTCTATTATGTCCTCCTTCATTATAAGTCTAATATGCAGCATTGCCACCTCAGCATCCGCAGGCCCGTGAAATCTTGCGTCAAACATGGTTCTTGTATAAAGGAGCGAGCGGGGATGAACCCCATGTACAGTACATAAAATATACGAAGCTTTCAACGCAAAATCTGGGTAGCATTCTATAGCACGGATGTCAAATTGCAACTCAGTCCACCATCTATGGCTGCTGTTGTGCCGAAGATGTGCTTACAGCAATCCGATGCCCAAGTCAGTGATGACACCGCGAGATACTATCTTCATTGGCCAGCAAAGCTGGCATGGCTTGCTGTCAGCATCACATCCACTTACACACTCGATCCGTCTCTTGATTCTGTATTCAGGCCGTCGGGAAAATGCCTCAGGCCGTCTGTACCACTGCGAGGTATTTCGCATCGCCAAGGTTACTCAACGTTAGAGAAAAATGTCGTTGTCATAATATCCATCTGACCCGCATGTCGTTGCTGATTCGACCAGTCGCTGATAAATGCAAACCAGCAATCATTCTGTCCCAGAGGATCTTTTTACTTGAACGAGCGCCGGTGGTCCTAGCATTCAGTCCCAATCTTCTATTCATCGGTTATCATCTAGCAAAGATCCAATCATCATGTACTCCCTCCACCTCTTCACACTCTCCGCCTTCCTCTTCGCCCTGGCCGCTCAACCAGCTCCACACCCAGCCCCAGCTCCGAACCCCTCCTCCCCCAACTTCCTCCCCAGGCTACGGAACCCTGACCACCAAAGCCCTGATATCACCCGCGCCACAATCAAAACCCCACCCATCAAGCTCTCCTCCCCCTCACTCCTCCTCCTCCAACACCCCCCCCCCCGGCACCCACGCCGCCAACACCACTCCCAACCCCATCAACCACTCCTCCCCACTCCCAACACCACTCCCAACCCCAACCTCTCCATCCCCCACTCCGCCCCCGAAACCCCATACCCC